TAATACATATAATATAGACCTATTTAAGAAAGGGAGAGCTCATTGATAATTCTGGAAAACAACAGCTGATCCTGCTAGACTGTATTTTGCCTCTGTCTTAAGATGTGTCTGCTTTTGGAGCATTTAGCCAAAAATAGGGTCAGCAAGGAGACAGCAATATGAGGCGAGGGGGGAATACAAAGGAAAGAATTATTCTGTCTTAAGGCAACTGAAAGACTGACTACTAGTGGAAAAGTTTCAGGAGGGGGAAAAAATATCTGATACAGATTCTGCCTGAGACTAGTCTCATGTTTTCTGTGATCTCAGTATTTGATGCTCTTTACAAACATACTTTAATATATTCATTGTACATCACACCATATCCTGGCTTCTCTCTGGCTTTGCATAACTATGCAGCCTTGGGCATATCAGATATATCCAGGACAGGATACAGCTGGGACATGGAAGAGCTACATCATGGTCCTCCTGTTTACCCATCATTTACTCACAGAATACCCTGTGCTGGCCTTGGCTAGTTAAGTAGGGAGAATTTTGCTTTTTTGGTTTCTATTTACTGAGTCCGCAGGTAAACTTGACCCTTTGATTTGTGTAACAGTCACGATAGTGATGTTGTACTTGGGCATAAAGCAGAAAAAGAAGCCTGTGTCTTAATGGTCCTGGGCTTGTGTAAAGGGAAGAGAGGTATGCAGAGGCACAGCCAGAAAAATTTCATTCAAGACCTGAATCTAGGTTGAATTTCTCACATGCTGTGTACATAATCCCCTTTGACTCCTTAAAAAAATCCCAGCCCTGTGTTGTTTCGATGCCCCGTGCCTTTATAAATGGCATGGCTCAAATCTCAGCTTGAAATAATTTAGAACAGCAGCCCAGGTAAGGGCATCTGGAACTGCATTTCTCTTCCTTTCTATGCTCCTCTTGATGAAGGACACTGCTGTGTTAATGGGGTTTTGTTCCTTTCTTTCAGGCTTCTCTTTCCCCAGCTGATGTCACGATCAGTGACATGAAAGTCACCCCTTAGTGAACCTTAGTGATATCATGACTAGAGAAGGATCCTGAGAGGCAGGAGATTAAGCAGCAAGTTAGCAAGACTGAAAGAACAAAGCCCTTATTTTCATGCATATATCCACAGTCAAAAATGAGTGAAGAGAAGGAGAGATGGGAATTAGGTGATACATTAGTTAAATTATTATTCAAAGATTCTTTGCTCGAAATTTTGCAGGAGGTTCTTTAATCTCTCACCTTGGGTATTGTTGGTGCCATGTTATATTCCAAGCATGTCAAAATGCAACAGAGTGTAAGGAGACATGATTTGTTGGATAAGGCTTTATGTAGCATGAAAAGGTTCCTCTACTTTCCCTTTTTATTATTTACATTCCCAGAGAAGGTTATGTGTCATGTGGGCTTTGCAGAGATAAATGGCTAACCTCAGCTTTCTGGCAGCTTCCTGAAAACCTGGGGGGGAGCTGCCTAAGTGTTGGCCTGAGGATTCTGAAGACTTAAGCTCAGTTCTGGTCCTGGAAGGAGATATATGAGAGGATGTAAGGCTATGTGTTCTGAAGATAGGTTTAGCAGGGCACAGGAAATAGTACAGGGGGGTCTGAAACAGCACAGAGAGAAGGGCAGCTGGGCACCAGTAGAAACCAGTAAGCTGTACTGGGTGGTACTGAGGTGGTCTGGTCAGGACTGCAGTTATGGGGATGTTGGAAGTCAGGAAGGAAGTGAAGCAGCTGAACTGAGTGGAGAGATCTTGGATAGTGCTACCAGTTGAGTGCAGAGTGTAGCTGGCCAGTGCTTTGTCCACTACTTTCATGAACTCTAATGCTAATTGCAGTTAGCACAATAATTCCAAGGCAGACAAGTAACTGGATATGCCGTAAAACACAGGTTTGGGCGACTCCTGCTGTTTTCCAGGTGTTTCAACGGTAGCAAGTTTTATAGACATGTCATCAGCTTTTGCTCTATTTGCTGCTTCATTAGTTTTCATGCTGGGAGCACTCTGGGGGAGCAACATTAGGATGTGGGACTTGGCTGTGATGGCTCCTGTGAAGGGAAGAGGCAGTTAGCAAGCTCTGTGGTTTCCTTGCTTGTACATACCTTGGTTATGACTCTCCTGTGGGTGGGATGTCAGAGCTGAGGATGTGCTTGGCAGGAAGGGATCCTTTAAATGAAGCTTTAACTGGAACAGAGAGATTTCCTTGGCTAGACCTGCACACTATTGGGTTCTCCATTGTCAACCACAGCGAAACAGTGTAGGTAATCTCTGGTCTCTTCCCCTGCCCTCCTATTTCCTGAGTTTTAAGATCTGGAAGCTCCAGAAGCTTTTCCAACACTGAATATGAGTAAGATGAGCTTGACTTTGATGAGCCTTCAGAGGAAAAGCAGAACTCAGGTCTCTGCCAGTCTCATGCTATTGCAATTAGCAGAATTATGGCAAACTATTCTTGGTTTCTAACATGAGAAAACCCTTGCTTAGAGTTCTTTATTTTTCTTATTTTAACTGGGGAAAGAACTTCTTAATTAAGATGCTGAGCTCTCTCCCAATATACAGAAGAGGTAAGAATTGTTAAGGCTGTATTCATCAATTGCAAAAGAGAACACGTTTTATTTTGTTCTGTGCTATTTACAGCTGTTGTCCATTAGAAGTCCTCAGGAGCCTCATTCCCAGCTACAACCACACAGCCCTGTAAGTTTAGCTCAGCAATGAGCCTGCAAAACAGCACTAAATCATGGTGATGGGAGAAAGAAGAAAATGTTTGGAGAAGGCAAAACGCAGCTGATGTCCTTGGGAAGGCTAGTTTTTGTTTGTTGTTATTTTAAAACATTATTAAGGTAAATGCTAATGCACGATTAGCTGGAGCAGAACAGAAATAGGATATTCTAATTTAAAAAAAAAAATCAGAATGGCTAGTAGTTCTACAGCAGCTAAAGGAATCTTTTGCAATCTGTAAGTGCCTAAGGCATTTGTGTATACACATTGATCCAAATGTACTAACCCCCCAGTATGGTGAGATGTAAGACTGATAAAAGCTTAATAAGTGGCTGTTGAGAAACAGAGTCCCAGTTGCTTTGCTGGACCAGAAGGTGGTTGCTCTGCATGAGCTCTTTGAGCTGAGAGAGCAGTTCACTCTTCTAGTGCCCACCAACTGCTTAAGAGGAAAGCATGGAAGTATGGAGGTGTTGAGGGGGGGATTGTTTCCAAACCTGAGTACATCCCTGTAAGATGTAACTAAATTGTGCTGTAATGTATATACTCAGCAGAACTGTGCAGAATATACAGTTAAGGAGAAAATTAATGCTTATTCCTTGTTTGACTGTGAAATGAGAAATTTCACCTGTATTCTCAGCTCTGTCTCAGCCTTTGGTTTGTCAGACAAATAGCTAAACAGCTCTTTAATACCATCTACATTTTTTGGAGTAGTGTTCTACCTCCCTGTAATGCTTTAATTGATTAATGATTTGTAAAGCATTTGGAAACTGAAGGGTGGCTTTGGGACCTAAGAAAAAAGGCACGTAACTTGCTAATTCAACATTTGCTTACAAGGGTGCTCCGCTGGGGCCTTTAGTTTTGTCTTCTGTCCTGTTACCTCTCCCAAGCCTGTCAGTTGAGGCCCTTCAGTTCATGAAGGAAAGAGAGCCTGAGCTCTGATGTTGCCTGATAGAGCAGGACAAACCTATCCTGGCACCGCTGTGATACCCTGACAGATAATGCTTCCCACTAAAGTAAATCTGTCAGGTTGACTTGTGACAACGGCCTGAGATAGTGAATGCTCACAAAAGGATCATTTTAAGACAGATAATTGCTTTCTCCTTTCCTTTTATTTTCTGAGCCTGGCAGGTGTCTCCTTCTGCCTTCTCCTGTTTCCTTGGCCCATCCATGGAGTATGCTAGGCACAGATGGGATCTTCAAAGAATCTGCTGTCAAACTTAGTTTTTTCTAAGCATATGTATACCGAGAGTTTTTGGAGGCTTGTAACTAGACCAAATGTGTTTAGTGTTTTTTTCACAGGAACGGCAAATAACTTATTTGATAACAAGGAAACTTTTGCTGTTAATTTGCAAGTCTGCTTTGAAACAGGGTCAGTAAAGATTATCAATGAACTTTTTAGTAAGAAGTTGGTTTACTTTTTGTATTTAGAAAAAAGCAAAACCTCTCCCCACCCCAAATTACCACAGCTTATGTTTCCCATGCCAAATGTATTGCTAGAAACAGCTGAACTCTTCTAGTTGCAACTTCTGAAAATCAGCTTTGCCATCTGAGCATCTCTATTATATAAAACTGAAAAATGTCTTTCCACCAAACATAACAACCTGTCTTAACTATGTGCATTGTTATTTCTACTTTTTGTTCGATGGTTTTGAAATAATGGTTAGCTTTGAGTACACAACCTCTGCAGTTTATCTTACGAACTTATTAATGCATTTTCTTTAATCATATCAGTTTAGCTTGATTAATTATGATTTTGACCTTACAACACAGGTTTGTGCCAGAGATCAGGCAGCTTCCATGTCCTTGGGGCCCTTATGAGTGGGCAGATCTGCTTCGATATTTATAAAATTCTGAATTGGTAATGGTGAAATACTGGAAGTAGAGCAGGACCTTAGAAAATTAAATAATTTCTAGCTGGCATTTAAACCTTAATGAAGCTTGATTGGATGAAACTTCCAAGAATTGCTAGAAAGCATGCTGGTGCCATTTGGAGAGGCAGTAACCTGCACATACAGAATGCTCTCTAATGGCACATATAAGTATCTGTAGGGTTATCACAGGATACACAAGCAAGGGGATCAGATGAAACTGGCACTGTGCTGGTTCTGAGGACCAAATCTGTGATCAATTTACAAAGAGCACCTTGAGGAAATGCCGGGACCATTTAGGGATGTATTTTCCTTAAAATGTATTTCAGATTATCGCAATTCAAAAGGAATAAAATCTACTTGCAAAGCCATTATTCAGAGAAAAGTCCTGTTCAGTTTTGGGATGTTCTTGGTTTGTTTTCCAGGCAATCGTCCTTATGTGTTTCTAACAGCCCGTGTTCACCCTGGTGAGAGCAATGCCAGCTGGGTGATGAAGGGGACCTTGGAGTTCCTTGTGAGCAGTGATCCCATCGCTGATCTCCTGCGGAAATGCTTCATTTTCAAGATCGTGCCCATGCTTAATCCCGATGGAGTCATCAATGGCAAGTGAGTTGTGATATGTACTTCTTCTGGGGTTTGGCTGGGTTTGTCTGCTGGCTTTACCCCTGTGCACCTACCACATCTTTTCTTCAATGGTCAGGAGAATTCTCTTTGCCTCATGTTTTATTCACTCTGTTATCAATCCTGTATGGAATTTGAGACATGGCCTACTGTGCTGTCTTACATCTGTCAGGTGTATGTGATTCTGTACTGTCTGTGGCCATAAGATCTCTCAATTGCCTGGATGGAGTGTTAGTTGTGCTGGAGAAACAGGGTCTTTCTTGATAAATGGAGGTCTATCCTTTCTGCTTCAGCAGCAGGGCAGACCACACTTGCAAGACAGATATGCCTGGGAAGAACTGGCTGTAATTAATGCTTTGTATAGCCTGGTAGGGGGGAAGATGAGTAAGGATCTCTTAAATTTTCACATTTTCATGGAAATATTTCCATATAGTGAAGCTCCCTCCTTCTCCCACCTCCTTTTCAATCTTCCCTCCCACGTTTCTTAAGAGATACTGAAACTGATCTTGGAAAATACTGATTCCTTCTTTCATTCTTTGCCTTATACTATCCCTGCCCACCCACACTAACTTCCCTTCCCTCTCTCTGTACATGAGTGGAAAAAGTACAACTGCTCCTAATACGCTGACATGAAATAAATATTGCTGTGCAAGCAGTGGAAGAATAATTCTCTTTGAAACATGGAAGAGTACTTTAAGATAAGGCAGGCTTGCACTTGGCTAGAAAAAAAAATCTACTTGTCTCTGAGGATAGTGGAGTTTGTTCACCTTGGGTGTTTGTGAAGCGGCTGTAAGTTGATAACTATTGGTCCTGTCTGATGCAGGGACAGGATGTCATGATCACATCCCACACACTTGTGTGTCTTGACCTGGCTATGAGGTCTTGCAGGTTTTGGCAACAACTGTGCCCCCGGCTTGTTAAAGTGGAACACATGACAAATCTTGAAGCTAGAAGATGGGCTTAAATAAGTATTGAAACACAGAAAAGTATAGAGGAACAACTTTCCTCAAACTACATTCTCCCACCTGCTTTGGGGTCGGGCTGTGCAGATGGAGTGCTGCAGGAACAGAAAAGCAATCCTGAGCAACAACTGCATTGAGTTTGGTTCTAAACTAATTCAGTTTCAGCAGGGAGCACCTTGGGATTTTCTGATAGTCTCTAGTCTGTGAAGTCACAGCTCCTGTGCTCCCCAGGACCTGAGTCTTCCAGGAGTCTGGGAGGACTGTTCAGAATAGCTGGATACAGCCCCAGGGTATGTGAAGCCTCTGTTGGCACCAAACGCTTTCTTGATCCTTCCAGACAGAAGAAGCAAGAAAAAAGGTTGTGGCTTTTCCCCCTTACTTTTGCTTCTTTCGCTACACTTAACATTTTCAACAGATGCAGGAGTGGAGGGAACGTCTGGCCTTTCTCTCTAGCTGTCAGGAGTGAACATAACAGGAAGGGACCCTCAGGAGGGAGGACGTGGCTCTAGGTGTCACCTGAATGCAGTATACTACTTGGGCTCGTGTCACACAGGAGGGTGTTTTGCCTTCCCTGGTGCAAATGAGCTTGAACTGTAGTTAAATCTGGTGATGAGTTAAAAAGGTTGTCTAAGTTTAAATGCTCTAATAACCTTTATTATCTTTCAAGACAATGTTAAGAGGGAACTATTTTCTGAGGAAGCTGGTCCATAGTCCATCACTGACAATAGCACTTGTAAGAAGATACTTGCTAAATATTTTTTTACATCTCTGAAACCTGTTTTATAACTCACTTCATGAAATTACTTGTTTGCTTTGGGATTGACAATCACTGCTGTGGAAGTCCCACCAGGCACACCTGAAAGGTCTGCTTTTGTGTCTGCTAGAGTGTGTGTAACATCCCAACCTGTTGCTCACTTCTAGTTTTATACAAGTTGCTGTGCTCTCATACCTTCCCCCTGCCAGGACTGGGCATGCTGAATGCAGCAAGCACACTACCCAGGCCAACAAGTATCTTGGCTCTGTGCTGGACACAGGGAACACCTACACGTGGTAACCAGTGATCTTATCTTTTATTGTGAAACAGAAATATCTCCTGTGTCAATGCCTCTGTTGCTTACATCCTGGTGTCTCTGTATCTTTATTTAAAAAAGAGTTGGATTACTTTTTGTTGACAATTCTTTGAATTTCCTCACTCTCCTTAATCCCCAGCCCTGTGTGCTGGGGTGTGCATAACCGGTGCCTGGTTACAAAGCGTTTTTCCAGCAGCCCAGCTGTGCCTCTTCCCCAGCTGGCTCCCTGCTGCAGGCACAGCTCAGCAGGTGAGTGCTCATCCCAGCAGGACACTGCACCATCACACTTTGGGAGCCTCGTGCAGCAACAAGATGATCAGGACCTTGGTATTTGCTTTGGTTAATGTGATCTGAAGGTTACACGCAGAGAATGCTCCTCTAACACAGGCAGGGCTGCAGTAATGCGATTATGCTCTGCCTGTGTGGGGCTGAGCTGGGAAGCAGCTCTGCACACTCCCTTTTGCTTCAGTCAGCGCTTGGAGAATCCATCGCTGTCTGTCAGAGATGGAGATGTGGAGCCCTGTCACTGATGCTAAATGAAGGCAGCAGTGATGCAAGTGTGCATGTACAAGTGGAGCTGTCATCACATAAAAATACAGATCACTACCAAATTCTGCAGCTAATTGGATGTTGTTCAATTCAGACAGAATTGGTGAGTGATTGTGTTGCTGTGTAGCACAGCATTTTGCTCCATCTTGAAGAGCACTTGGGTGTAGTTTTGTCAAACAATATTCAGCTGATCTGATAATGGTTATATATTTTAAGTTAAATAATGGATATTGCTTTTCATAAAGTTATACTTTCTGCCAGACACTGGCTTTTGACCGCTGCTGGTGATGGCATTCTGCCTCACATACATCTACGATCTGACCTGATAGTTACTTTATATGTTTTGGGTTTGCTTCTTTTGATAAAAATTATAAGGAAAAAATAGTCTTAGTTTCCAAGACCAGCAGTGTAAGTCAATCTGAAGTGACAGCTTTATACTTAGGGTCCTTGCAGTCTGACTTTGTTTTGCACAAGTTGTTCTATGATAATCCAAACTAGTAAGTGATGTTTGGCCTTATGGGTCAGCACCTTCATCCAAACCTGTAGCCCCCTTTTAAACTACATCATAATAAAATGGAAAGCTTTAAAAGGAATTAATATCTATGAAGTGTAAGAGAATCCATGAAGAAAAGTATCACCTTCATTAGGAATGTGGTAGAAAATGGCAATGGGTGAGAGAGAAACCTGTGCTTTGTTCCTGGCTCTGCTACTGTTGGACTAAAAGACCATTGCCTCTGCCTTTTGCCTGAGTCTTCTTCCTTACAGAATGAGAGAGTGACATACATAACCTTAGAGCAATTTGAAATGTCAGTCTAGATCTACTACTGTTTGAACTATTAGGCTTGTTTTTAACTTGCAGAATGTGGAAAATAATGCTCTTGGAAAACTTTAAATTTGGGAGAAATGGTGCAGAGTAGCCTCTAATGAAACCTTATTAAAAATTTTTGCTTTAAAAAAGTTAATCTGTTCAAGTGAAACCCGTGTACCCAAAAGTAGGTTAATTATAGTTGCAGTTGTGCAAAATCCAGAAACCAGGATTCAGTGAGAGAACTTGTAAAAAGCCGGATTATAGCAGCACAAAAAGAGGTTTTGTAAAGAAACAGAACACTTTTTGCTGTCCACAGTGTTCCATATAAACTCATTATCACACATTTGAGCATCGAGCTGTGTGCTCACGCATGCCTGTGCAGCTGTGTGCTAACTCATGATATGTTCATGTGCTGCCTTCTGTGTGTGCCTGCTGTGCATCCTCCTGTCAGCAGCCTGTTCCTGCAACTGTTCCTCAGCATCTGCTGGACCTGCAAGACATCTACACACACACCTGGCACTCCCACACATGTGCTCACTCAACACAGTAGCCAACATTTAGTGCTTTTGGCTGGATTTCTCCAGACCCTGCGGTGTCTAGATAAATATTGCTATTTATTATGCATTAAATTTAGGGTTATTAATTATATCAGTATAACCTAATTTATATCACCATAAACAGCAGTAATAAATGATGCCAAATGCTAACACTTGATTCTTGCCAATTGTGCCTATTTCAGGGTGGGTTTTTTTCTCTCCGGTTCCCAGAAGTATTAAATTAAAAATGATTGGCCTTGCAAGATCATTGCTCAAGCAAGAAGTGGAAGGTCCTGGGGAAATGATTTTGTGTTAAAGAATACTTCCCATGCAGACTGCTCATGAAGTATCTATGCATTTTGTGTATGCAGAAATTCTCTTTCCACTGGCAAATTCTTTGCTGTCCGGTATCACAGCCCTCTGAGTTCGTCTCCCTCCTGTGCTGCCACCTTGTTCCTCTTCCATTTCTTCCTTTTAACATCCCTTCTTTCTTTTCATCTGCCTCCTTTTCTCACTCTTCCCTCCCTCCTGATGAATTAAAGAGGCTTTTCATTGAAAAGAATTTGATGCATTTTATAAATTAAGTGAACCAATGAGTGGAGATGGGATCTGGTGAGTCTGTCTTTTTGGTAAAGGAAGATGAATTTTTTGGAAGCCACATGATTTCTTCAGAGCCATGGGGTAACCACAGTAGCAGTTAGGTAGAGGAAATCCTGATTTGCATTTTGAATTATAGCCACAGACTATTCTTTACCTGGTTTATAAACACCCTGTTCCCTCCTGCATTTGCTCTACCACAACACAGGCTCAGTAAGCTTTGCTGCTCCAAGGTAAGGCAGGTGAGGTGCTGGGTTTCCTATCTGTCCATTGATGCTCCTTTCCCTTTTGTTTAATCTGTCTATTCCATCCTTGTTTACTCAGGGGGCTTTGTTCATTACCTCTTCAAATCCATCAGGGAAGAGGATTTGTTTTTTGACAATTACTGAAATGGAGAGAGAGAAATGCCCACTAAAATCCCTTCTAGAGAAGGTTTCCTCTGCACACTCTCAAAAGCTACAAA